ACCTCTGCCCGTAGTCCCCATGTGTACTTGACCTCTGTCCTGTCCCCTTTGGACACACTCATGCCTATAGGCTTACTCTCCCTCTCCCTGCCTCTTCGCCCGTGCCTTCTCATCGTCATCTCCTCATGACATGTGCCAGCAGTCCCTCAGCACCCCCCTCCCTCTGTCTCTGCACGCAGGCATATGTCCCCTGGTATCCCGATGACCATATAATTGTGCATGGAATGCACAACATTTCGGGATTCTGTTGGCCAGCCACAGTTATCCAGTCTGCATGACTCAGTGAGTTGGTGGGAGAACCACAACTCAGAGAATCAGAATGATGTGTGTCTGTAGGTGTGTGTGTGTATACATGTGTTTGTGTACATGTTTATGGATACGTGTCTGGGTATATCTGAGTCTGTGTATGTGGGTAAACGTGTGTGAATGTATACGTGTGTTTGTGTCTGCTTGTGAGAATGTGTGTGTGTGTCTGTGTGTGGTGTGTGTGTGTCTCAGGTGTGTGTGTCTGTGCCTATGTGTGTGAATGAGTCTGTGTGTGTGTGTCTGTGTGTGAGAGTGTGTGTGTGTCTGTGTGTGTGAGAATGTGTGTGTATGTGTGCATGAATGTGTGTGTGCCTGTCTGTGTGTGTGAGTGTGTGTTCCTGTCTGTCTGTGCGTGTGAGTGTGTGTGTATATGCCTGTCTGTTTTGTGTGTGTATGAGTGTGTGAGTGCGTGTCTGTGAGTGTGTTTGTGCGTGTGTGTCTGTGTGTGTGTTTATGCATGTGTGTATCTGAGTGTGTGTTTATCTGAGTGTGTGTGTGTCTGTGTGTGTGTTTATGCATGTGTGTGTCTGAGTATGTGTGTGTGTGTCTGTGTGTGTGTTTATGCATGTGTGTATCTGCATGTGTGAGCATGAGGGTGTGTGTGTGTTTATGCATGTGTGTCTTAAGTGTGTGTGTGAGCTTGTGTGTGTGTTTATGCATGTGTGTATCTGAGTGTGTGTGTGTGAGGGTGTGTGTGTGTTTATGCATGTGTGTATCTGTGTGTGTGTGTTTCTGAATGTGTGTGTGTGTGTGTGTGTGTATGTGTGTGTGTTTATGCGTATGTGGGTGTATCTGAGTGTGTGGATGTATCTGAGTGTGTGTGTGTTTATGCATGTGTGTACCAGAGTGTGTGTGTGTTTATGCGTGTGTGTGTGTGTTAATGCATGTGTGTATCTGAGTGTGCGTGTTTATGCATTTGTGTATCTGAGTGTGTGTGTTTATGCATGTGTGTATCTGAGTGTGTGTGTGTGTGTGTGTGTGTTTATGCATGTGTGTATCTGAGTGTGTGTGTGTATCTATGTGTTTATGCATGTATGTATCTGAGTGTGTGTGTCTGTGTGTGTGTTTATGCATGTGTGTATCTGAGTGTGTGTGTTTATGCATGTGTGTATCTGAGTGTGTGTGTGTATCTGTGTGTTTATGCATGTGTGTATCTGAGTGTGTGTGTGTGTGTTTATGCATGTGTGTATCTGAGTGTGTGTGTGCGTGTGTTTATGCATGTGTGTATCTGAGTGTGTGTGTAGTCTTTTCTTTTTCCATACGCCCTTCCAGAAGTACATATTTTCTGCAAAAATCCTTTTGTTCAAGCCAGATCGATTCAAGGTTGCTGTGTTGTTGACTGTGAAGGTTGAAATAACAGAAAGCCTTGACTATTTAAATCATTGCATACCTTGGTGTATTTAACCACTTGAGCAGTATCCTTCGAGGAATGGTAACTCTTTGACCCTGCACGCAATGTGCCTGGGGTTCAGTGTGACGAGAAAGGTGGCAGCTTTTCTCTGGATATTCCATGGGGCCACTGTTGATCACAGCCAAACAGCCTTGTCAGAAACGTTCATTTGTAGCTGACAGAGGCTGACGGTAAGGGATATGGGGCTGGAGGTGACGTTCGGGCATCGGGGGCAGCATGGGAGAGTGAAAACAAGGGCAGGGGTGCTTAGCTTCCACTGGGCAGACACTGCCCAATGCCTGGTCCCCAGATCAACAGGAAGTGCCTTTGTTGGAAAGGGAGGCTGCAGGGGCTGGAGGA